GGGGGGAGAGGGGCAGGTGCCAGAGATTATTTAGACATGGTAACGATAGAGCATTCCACCAGATCGTTCAGTAGAAACATCTTCAGGTATACCTGAGTGCTCAAAGTATATATGTATGTATGTGCATGTGTATGTATGCATGGATACGTGTATGGGTGTGCGTGTGTGTCAATATGTATGTTTTTGCTTATTTATTTGCTGCTGTTACTTTGCTTTTGAAAAATATCAAGTAATCCTCCGTGTTATCTATTCAAATAATGCACAAGTATAGAAAGCCACAAATGAAGTCCCTTCCCACTGCCTCCCCACGCCTTCTCCTCCCCTCCTTGTCTGCTCCCCTCTCTGGAGGGAACCACCACTATCCAGTTGCACCCTTCCACCCCTCTTTCTATGCATCTGCACACACTTTTATGTACATATACAAATATTTGTCTCACTTGTGCCCAACCTCCCTCTTTAAGGCCAATCCTCTGTCTTCTCCAGGAGGAAAGCGAGGTGGTTGAGGGTGTAAAGGGGTTAGGGGAGGTCCCTTCTCTGTTCAGAAACTTCTAGTGGTTTCCCATCTTTCTCAGAGTAAGATTCAAGGGCTTTGTTCAGCCTCTGGGTCCCTACCACTCGCTCCCTGCTCATTCTGTACCTCCTTCGGATCTCCTGGATCTCAAACTGGCCAATCATGCTCCTGCCACAGGGCCTTTGCACTTTCCATCCCCTCCACCTGGAATGAGGCTTTTCCCCCAGATGGCTTTCCCCCTCAGTTGATCTAGGTCTCGGCTCAATGCCCGATCTCCGGGGCCTTCTTTGATAAGCCCGTCTATAATGGGCCCGCCTGGGCTTTCTCATCCCCTACCCTTTTCATTTTTCTCAGGAGCACTCATTGTCCTTGACATATTATGTATTTGATATTTATTGCTGGCTTCACCCCCACTAGCATGTAAGCTACATGAAAGCAGGGGCTTGGTATTATTTTGTCTCCAGTTTCTGACGGGTGCCTGATGAGCAGTGAGCCCTTGCTACATATCTGTGAAATGAATGCGTAGGCACAGGAAGGCAGCTGGGACTGGGCTGCCCTGCAGCAGTTTCCCCAGAAATGCCTGGGGAGCTTCCCACTGGCAGGAGCTGTCGGGCCCTCTCAGCCTCCAATCTGCAGCCCCAGGGGATTCCCTGGCCCTCAGAGAGTCCCACAGTTAGAGCCCACAATGGCAGGGAAGACAGCCCTGGGAAAGGCTTTGGAATGCATTTGGAAGAGAATTTCCTGAAGAGTCCTGTGGCTGGCCCAGGGATTGGGGTCATGAGGAAGAAAGGCCTAAAATACCACCCCTAGCTTTGCCTCCCCATATCGAGCCCCCCTCCCACCACACCATCAAAGCCTTCCTCCTCTGTACCCCTCTTAGCATCTGCAGCTTGATTCTGGGGAAGGGGAGAAAGAG